CCACGTCCGCCGCCGCATAACTCCGCTCCCGCACCACGGCCGACACGAGTGGAATGCACGTAATCTTCTCCACCGCCGCTGCCCGTACACAACGACTACGCTACGACGGCGGTTTATCCGATGAAGCGGAATAGTAGTGGTGGCGGCGGCGGCGGCAGTGATAAATAGAACCGATAGACATGAAATTGAATAGGATACGAGCGCATCCAATGATTCCCAAAAAAAAAAATAGTAATATTAACACTCACGTCTTCGCGCGTACGAGACATAAAATATATTGTATACGAGCGCAACTTTGCGGTTGTTACGCTCGTCGTGTAATATTAACGATAATAATAATAATAATAATGATAATATTGTAATATTATGTTTTTTTTTGGGGGGGGGGGAGAGAAGGCGAGAAACGGAGAGAGGCAGCAACTAGATGGTGCGACCGCAACGTCGACGGGACAATGTAATAAATCGAGACCCAATTAAGGGGAAGGGGTAATGCACATTCCGTGGGCGTCGTCCGACAACGTGTACACGCACGCACACAACTACTATACTCGGGTGGTATGTATATTATAGAGACGCGCTGCGGTAATAATAATACTCGTAATGATAATAATAAAACCGTGTGTACCGATAATGGTCGTGGTGGCCGCCGCCGCCGCAGCGTATAATGATGAACGCGGCGGCGTATAATTTGTCGGTCACGGTTTTCCCCGGCTACACTCTTCCCCGACCCCCTCCCACCGACGCCACGTAGCGCGTGACCCTCACCGCTTCGAAACCGTATTCACTTCCGTGATCACCGCCTCGGCACCACGCGTGTGTTCACCGCAAAAGGAATCGCGGTCAACGCGCGCGAAATCACCGCACCTCGATGGTTCCCGAATTTTCGGGGCCTCGCGTACCGAAATCGCGTTCGTAGTGGATGTCTCTCGCCGGGTAACCGAGTCGACCGGACGAGTGAGACCACGACGAACGTACGAAAGAAGGGTTTGGTGTCAGGGGATCATGCCATCGCATCCCGAGGTGTAACGAAAACGTACGTTTCCGCTCCAGCTTAACAACCGGTAGCTCATGAAAGATATTCGATGACAAGGCAAAGGGTAGGTATAACTAGATCAAATTGTCCGCCGTCGTTTTCTGTACGTTAACAATTGTTGTTTTCGTAGCGATGCAACCCTTGAAAACCTTACCCCTACTCACGGGCATTTGCCCATATGTGCCGCCAATCGAACGCGATGTATGCTGTATATTTTAAATTTTAGAACCCAACTGGACCGACCGCATGGGTGTGGTTCTTCGACTCGGGACCGATGACGGAACAACCGTTACGTTGCGTTCCCTAGACGTTACGTGTTTCGCATGTCGCGAACATCTGTACGATTTCGTGATCGAACGGAAAGTTTCCGCGTCGCCGCCGCCGTTGTTTAAGAACTATAACGATACATAGAGATGTCAACGAACAAATTATCGTTCACTGCATTACGTTTTATTTAGTAATTACCAAGAATATTGGACCCTCCCATCCCAGGATCTATCCCGTGCTCTTAAACGAAGATGATCCTTTGTAATTTGAATATAAAAAAAATCGTACCCTTGATTTGATGGATTTCAAATATTTAATTTTATGTTTAGTTCACGTAAACCGCAGTAATCAAATATGTACATTCATTACTGAAAAAGTATCTAATTTCGGGTCGAAAGAATGACTTTATTTTTACCCCCTTCAAATAAAATTCCGTATGCTACGGGTCTGGTGTTGATGTTGTTGCTGCGGCGATTGCAGTGTGTGTACAATATAATAATGTGTAATAATAATAATAATACCTTATACCTGGTGGAGCTTATAACACGGCTACCGTCGATTACTTGGTGTGTACGCAACGATGCATTTATGTGTTTATTATAATTTATAATATTTTTACTTCGGAGTCGCGTGTCAGAACAGGTACCTGCCGCGCGTACGTGTGTAGTAATACCGTGTAGATGGTTGGCTCTATATGCATGTACGCGTTTGGGCGGATTTTATATCGTATGTATACATGCGGTTCCATTTTAATAGACATTCCGTGAAACGTATAATTAAACCGTAATTAATTCCCGCCGAAATGCAAACCTGCATGTATTATAACGTCGGGTTCATCATTTTATGAAAAAATAAAAAACCATTAATAGTAATAATAATAATGATGATAATAATTCACAGCAATTAGATCAGCGAGCGGTACGAGGCAGGTAGGTTAGCGTGGAGGAATTCGGTTTTCTCTTGTTAAATTGTTAGCAAATAGAATGCATTTAGTGAGATGTTTTCATATTAACAATTATGTCTGAGGAGAATTTCGCTGTTAAATCAGTATACTTCATGAAACTGTGGCTGTATGCGTATGTTAGAAGTATTACAATTGCCTCGTACACGGGTTATAGAGTTGAATTCGATTATTTTTTTCTCGAGAATTATATTGTACCTAAATTTGAAACTGGGTAAGGATCTCCTTTAGTATATTATTTTTTTAAACATATAACCAACATTGGAACACTACCTAATCTTAAAAGTGTACGGAAATATTTATTTCAATCATTAATTTGTTTGATAATATAAATACAATTATTGTTTATTTAAAATATTTTATAAAACCGAAATCGAAGAGAAATTATAATACCATTAAAATGTTGTGCCGAGTGAATTACGACGGTATGGTACAACTTGTACGAGTTGAATGATTTCAGTTGATGCTTCGATTTTGAGTTCGAGAGCCTTTCTTTGATTTTTCCAATTTTAGCACTACAGACATATCGTAATTGTTTCGCATAATGACTTATGACGTTCGGCATGTTTTATCGAATGTCTTTATAACGTCGAAAATATTTGTTCTGACAGTGCGTATCTCTGCTACATTTTATACGTTATTTGTACAGTTATTATTTTAATAACCGCTGTTTACTGGTGTTATTTTTTTAACTATAGTGTGTGCGAGGAGTGTATCAATAATACGGGTTCTCAACACGAACAAAGGCGAAATAAAATCCGACAATATCAATGTAACAACACTACACTGCACTAATCAATACCGTGCAGACGTCGTAATGGAGTGTGAAGTTTATGGACGGGCAAAGCAGTCTTTTGACACGGATCGACAGGATTGAAATAAAAATAAGTGAAAAACGGAAAGGGGAAAAAGAAATAAGAACTCTTGATGTTGACACACAACTCTACCGAGAACTGTATACAATTGCTGAAACCTGTAGACAGTACTCGACGACACGACGGTTTTATTCTACTTCCATCTCCAAGTGTGTTCGATGTGAACGCGTGTGTATCGATTAAGTCCTTGGAATACCCAAAATCGTTTGTGCTCCGATTGTTATTCCTGTATTTTTAATGCGTGCGGTACGCAACGAATCAACGTTATCAGGTATAAATGAAACATATCCGTAGTACGCGAATGGTACGTACGGAATGTACAATTCGTATGGGGACGTGTACCTCGTCAAAAAAGAAGGTCGAAAAGACAAATTGACAGTTGGAACTCCTAAATAATACGTGTATGCGACGCGCAGGCAGAAAGAGAAAAGCGAAAAGGTCAATAAAAATAATTGCGGTTGTAAGTATATACATGTATTTATACTCGTGTACGTGTGTGTGTGTACACTTTGGCAATCACTGCGTGATGACAAACGGCGGCGGTGGTGGCCAAGTAAAACGGAACGTGTACGTGTGTATAGGATTGTAAAATAAAGCTACTGTGACCATCTGAGGGACGGAAAAAGTGAGAAAGAGAAACAGAGAAGGAGATAAAAGAGATAGACAGATAGAGAGAGAGAGAGAGATGAACGGGGAAAGAAAGGAAACCAATGGTTATTGTACGGAAGCGCTCTGGCCGTTTGCCAGGTGCACACATACACGTATACACACACGCACACGCATACACGCGGAGTGGTATTATAACAGAATGGTAGTGTATCGGTCACGAGGCGGTGGAAACATTGAGATAGTGGTGGTGGTGGTGGTGGTTTTACAAGGAGAGGGACACCCGCGTGACCTTTGCAGTCTTTATCGGCCGATTTCTAAGGGATCGATATACACACGCACGCGGCCACCACTACCACCGCCACCGACGTCGTCGTCGTCGTCGTCGTCGCCGTCGCCACCACCACCACCGACATCGCCATCGCCGCCAGAACCGATTTGAATCGCAAATTCCTGGTGCCGGATCCCCCTGCCCGCCAGCGTCGTCATCCAACACTATCGCGAACCGTATGTACTCGAAGGCCGCTGCGGGCAGCAACGCACTCGCACTGGTGTGTATTTGCGCGCGTAGCACGTATAAATTTGCATACTCGGACGTGAGACGCATACGTGCCAAACAGACCCTGCGAATTCCGATCACGTCCCTCTAACGCGCCCTTTAATTTCACCAATAACCCGTGGAGTTAATAATATCCTTACCTTTTATTTTTTTATTTTCATTTTTATCACGGACCGAGAAAAATTACATTTTCATTCCGGTCGGATATCGCGTTCCGACCGCATTCCGTTTACCGGTTATTTTTTTTTTTAATATTCTATTGTTTTTTTTTTTTTTTTCTGTCCGTCTGATACGTGTATATTTTTACGTTTATTTATTTATTTTCGTTTTGTCGTCGTGGGCAAAGCAGATCCGATCGAACGACAAGAACAGCGGCCGCGGCGGTTACCGCACGATGAAGGGCGAACACAACCAACAGACTTGTTTACATACTCACGCGCGCGCACCACGTTCACCCGCATCCGATAATCTGCATTTATGTGTACACAATAATAGTAATAATATTAAAATAAATATCATTATTGGCTGAGGTTGTGGCGGGTACGCGTAATACGTATATTATTATTGTATGCGCGCGTGGAAACGTTTACTCGTATTATATATAACGTCGTACAACATAAATACACACCGTACGCACGCGTTTACGTGCGTGTATGTTCGCGCGCGGGTGAAACACAAACGGGTTTAAATTTACAATACCTTTTTTGAGTGTCGGCAAATATTTGTCGACAGCAACCCATATGGCAGCGGGTGTCCTCCGCTCCACATCGTCTGCACCGCGGTCGACGTATTATCCTCTCTCCGCCGTAACCCTGCTGCCACCGCAAGCAGAGCGTCACCGTCGTCGCATTCCCGCCCCCTAAAACTACATATTTTTATTTTTTAACATTTTGTTTTTTTTTTCTGACACCGGAAACGGTTTTTTTATATATATATATATATTTATTTTAGCGCTCTGAAAGGGTTCATTATAGACAATAACCCTGCTGACAAATACACTCACACACACACACACACACACACACACACACACACACGTGTACTATATTTATACGGCGCGTAAGCCACGCGGGTTAATTATGAACCGCTCTGCGGTTACAGTGCGCGTATGATACCGGCGCTCTACAGAGGTTTTCGTTTTCCGACGCGGCAACGTACCTGTGCGAGATCACGGTCCGGGACCACGAGAGCGACACGTGAAAATATATTTCTTATAATACCCCCGTATTGTGAACAACGTAATAACAATAATAGTACCGGGGGCGGCTCCAGAGCCTTGTTCAGGAAGAGGGGCCAAGTTATAATCTTACAAAATCTTATAACAAAAAGAATACAACAATTTTTACAATACAAATTCAAGTGGTCTATTTTTAAAATCGGCAAAAATATCAATAATATGATCTATTTGATCTAGAATATCTAATTTATGATGTATATTAATTAGACATAATGCTGCTGATGGTCCATCTTCAGTCATCGTTGAACGAAGCCTGGTTTTTAGTCCCCGCAGTGTGGAGAAACTCCTTTCAACCGTCATACCTCATGGCTCTATCTGCATACTTGTGCGTGTCGTATGAGATAGTACATATTATAATATGCATTTTTTGTTAACAATATAAATTTTTTTATAAATACTGTACGGGCTTGGGAGGGGTCGCGGCCCCTAGCCCCCCCCCCGCACTGGAGCCGCCCCTGAATAGTACCACACGACTATCGTGCGCGTTTCATTCCCGTCGTCGTCATTTACGTACTCGCTTCTTAATGTTTTCTCGTTTTACCACACGTGTACGCAGCGTTAAATGTAATCTATTCACCGACCGCTCCACGGCGTTGTAGGACAAGCCGTGTTTACAACGACATTCGTTTCGTAATCTCGTGTTGTGCCCCCCCCCCCCGGCCATGGTTATAATACGTACAAACGACGCGATCCGTCGAGAAATAGATTTCCAGATTTACGACCACGTGCCGCGGCGGGCGGTGGAACGAACGAGTAACGACGACACCGAGAGGAGTTTTTTTTTTTTTTTGAATCCGATCCAACAACACTTCGGCCGATTATTTCCGACGCTCCGCGCGAGAGAGGCTCACACTTAATAATACACACTGGTTTGTGAACGTCGAAAAACGCGCACTCATGTCGTTATTACGACGGCGTCTAAATGATCGCCTAAAGGATGATTTCGTTGATGTATTTTTCGTTACTCTCTTAAACGTGTCAAACCGACCGTTAATTTATACGTGAGTTTATAATTTTATAATCCGGCGCGGACACGTTTTGTGCGATCGATCGCAACACGCGCGTTTAACCAACGGGGGGAAACCAATAAAAAATATTTTCATTAAGACGTGTACACTTAATACGTACGATTCCCAATGCGAACGCGTACCGATAAACATATTATTTTATTCCTCCGAGAGGTAAACACAGCGATAATTCCTACTGCATAATAGCGCACGAGTGCATAACGATTGTAATCGGATATTCACTTGGCAGTGATGAGATTCATTACGAGACTAGAAAAAAAAATAAAAAAAAAATTACGACTTTAATTAACTCGGATCCCCATCCATGGCCTATATTCGCCGATATGGTTATGCAAACATATTACGAAATTGTTATTGGTGCAGTAACAATGCTGGACGTACGTTTGTTTTTGTATAAATGTTTTTTTAATGGAATATTCGTATTCCGCCGTAGAATTTTGTCTACGAAAACCAAGTGTGTTTGGAACGTATAGGAACAACGATTCGAACATTATTTACCACGGTTCTATTTGTGTTTTAATTGCGACCTACTATCGCCAAAAGTCCAAATATTTCAACAGGATACAAACAGTCGAAAACTTTTGTAAATAAACGGTCGTTGAATTATGAAAAACGTACAAGCTATTTACAACGAATAAATTATTTATAACGCGTGAATTATTTACAATATTAAAAACACCTGTTATCCAAGTAATACGTGGCTAAATTCAAAAGTGATAAATGAGTTTACAAGACGATGAATTATAAAATCTGCGAACACTGAAATGCAAAATAATTTCAAGAATTACAAAAACTTCGCGTTATTAATTATCGTTTAGAAGCTCCGTTGTAGAATATTTATTCGTAAACAACATTATTGTTTTTAGTGGTATTTTTTATACGCCGTTTTCAAACCAAACAACGAGTCTTAAAAATCGGTATGGGCGTTTCTCGTTGAAGTAACATTAACTGAATTCCTTCGTAATTAATTGCACAACACGAAAAACAACTGAAAACAATTAGTTTTTTTTTTTTTTTAAAGGCTATTACTTATTAAGTGCACGTCAAATTCTTTTTTTTCTTTCGTAATCTCCGAGTAAGTAGTGTGGGCAGCGTTCGTGTTGAATTATTATAATGCAATTTTGTACCGCACGAATGTAAAATCGTTCGTAAAGGAACACAAAACGTGAACCGTGTACGCAGAAACGGAGGCGCGCGTCCGAAAAGAATATTAACGTATCGGACGCGTCCGGTGCATAATATATTTGTCCGATCGTAAAAGATTGCGCCCGCTCACAACTCGAAACGCGTTCGGGGACCGGCTGATGAGAAAAAAACGACGACGACGACGAAGACGTAAAAAACCGATGGTGTTCCCTCGCACCGCTCTCGGAATCTAAAATAAGAAGCTATTCCATAATGAATACGTTACGCGCGTACACGACGACGTACGGACGTAATGTATACGCGTCGTGTCGTTGCGTAGCGGTTAATTAATTACGTGGCAACATTATGCACCTCCGCCGGTCCGCAGGAGATTCGCACGCAACGAGAAATTAGAATCTGGCGGCCGTACGATCGTACGCGCTCGCACACGTGGCCGCACGCCGAGTTTTATATTATTTTTAGTCGTTGGTTTATTATTATTTTTACTTTTTTTTTTCTTTACGGACGGCGTACGTATAAAAGAGTATATAAATATACGTGTGCATCATATTGTGTGTACAAACAAAACAGTTGCACGTAATAAAAAAAAAAAAAAAAAAACCCGAGTAAAAACAAAATATATTTATATACACGAATATATATATATATACATCTCATTAGGCGCATTATCACGTTTCCCTCTTGGCCTTCTCCCCCCCCCCTCGCCGACGACTCGCTCTACGGTCCACGGAGTTATAATAATAACGTCGGACATAATCTCCTCCGGGTGCATTGGGTTGTGAAACTGAACGGATAAACACGATTTTTACCCTCGATAAACAACCGGCACGGCCGCCCGCTGTTTATAACCTGAATAAAATATTATGTACAAATATAATGGGATATACGTGCAGGGGTGAAAATGGGGTGGCAGGGAAAAAACATAAAAGGGAAGAGCCGTGTAACAACGGAGACGGAGCGAGTGAGCGATGAAGAGAGATCGAGAAGAACTCGGGGAATCGATTTTTATTGTGTTTCTCCTGCGTACACGAAAACGAGCATCTGCTAGCCGTGCAAAATCGTAATGCGTTATAATAGGTTTGTCAGGTTAGTCGTCACCGTTTGTAATGTGCGCGTGTGTTCGACCGGAATCCCCGTGCTGGGTAACACACGCTTACGCACGCACAAATATTATATTGTACGAGATACATTTTCCAGTAGACATTCCACACGGACCGGTTCAATTACACTAAACATTTACACTTCTCGTCCCGTACCGGTCTCATCATCAACGTCGTCGTCGTCGTCGTCGTAACGATTCCCCCACCCCTCCCCCGACAACGAGCTCGTCACCGCTACCGCGTTCACGGTCCGACGGACAAACATTTGTTTTGAGGTCGCGTTAAAACCATAAACAGTCGTGGAACGCGTTTTCTATGCGCGCGCGCGCACACGCGCACGCACTCCCTTTCACGCCGTCGTTGTAGAGTCGGCCACCGTATGTCAAAATTTCACGGGCGACGAACGTCTCGGGTGGAGGTAGAAAAAAAAAAAAAAACCGTTTGTTAAAAAAAAACCCGACCGCCTTCTTCGTTATGCACTCGATTATTGTTATTTCTTTTTATACCGCGGGCACGGCGGACGGGGGAGGGGAACACGTAGGTATAATAATCTCACTTAAGTACCGAAAAATAAATACTTCATTTGAATATTATGCTAATACGACGCGCGTTCGGAAAAGAAATGACGTACAAATGAATACATTAATTTCAGACCGTACTGATTGGTATATAAAAACACATTGTTAACCACACACTGAATTAGGCACGGTCAAGCGGGGAAATTTACATAGAAAAACAGTACTTTAAATATAAAACGTACACAAAGGTGAGTACATGATATAAAACACTTACGTTTCGAATATATTTGTACACACACACACACACACGTGTGTGTGTGCGTGTGTGTGCGCGCGCGCGTATACATATTATATTAGCACCGTTAAAGTTAAATGTCGGCAAACGCGCGCGCGTGTTCCAAAAAATATTATTTATTCTCATAAAACCAATTATCCGAAAAATCGTAAACCGTACAGGATGGTGACGGACGGGAACAAAACGGCGTTCCTCGTGATCGTTAAACACAGAGGCGTATTTAGACCTAACCTACTAGGGACGACGACGACGATAATTAACATTTTTTCTTTAATTCAAGTTCAAAATGTACAAGTTAAATTTTTGGTTATGTTTAAATCAGGTGAATGCTTAATATTTGTGTTTTTTTTTTAATCTAATGCCGGGTCCATTTAGAATGGAATTTCAAGTTATTGGTTATTTTTTAACACCAGTCTGTGTTTTGAAAGTTGCGCTTGTGTTTTTATTTGATTTCACATCAAGTACGGACCCGACATTAGAGCCCAATCCAGTATTCACGGCCACGCATGATTTGATTTCGTTATAAAACGATCCAAATTAAAAAAAATTTGAGATGCGTATCTCACGTACAATCAATTTCGTAAATAAGGATTCATGGAGGGGCGGCGGCGATCAACCCTTGGTCCCCCTAAAATACGCCCATGGTTAAACACTATGTACATTATTTACCGAAGTATTTACCATGCGATCGCCTATTAATAAAATCCATAACGTGTATCGCGCGCGCCTACACTGACTTAATACATAGAATTGTATACGACGAAACGTATCGTGTGCGTTGAACTCGCACATGATACGCACAAAGAGCAAACAATTAACGTGTGTATTGTGTAATGTAACGTGTGTAATAATAATAATAATAATTCGTCCGACTGTTAAATGTATACGCGGCGCAGTACCTAAGTGTATATTATTCGTCGATGACCAGGGAAAACTGTTATAGTTATTGCGTTCTTTACATTATTACATTTCTTTTGAGCGTCTTCTTTCTTGGTCATACGACCTAATGCAGCAAGGAGCTAATGCAGCAATATGTTTTGAAATAAAACCGATAAACAATACTTTTGTTTACGGTTTACAGTACTGTCGTTTGGTTTGATATTCAGCGATTGATTTTTAAAACAAAAAAAAAAAAATACCGAAAAATATAAGCGTTACAGAAAAATACATAAATATTTATACAGATGAATTTTTTTTTTTATTTTTTATTATTATTGAAATTTTGTCGTACAATTAATTTCGATAATTACAATGATGATGACATTTTTATTGTGTATGTTTTATTCGTCGTAATTCATTAACCATAATGATTCGGACGAATATCATCGAAATGCAAATACCCCATTACAGTTTAAATGTCAATAAGTCCGTTTTCCCGATATGTAGATTGTTTAAAGTTCAATCTAAATATTACATTTAATTCATATTTTTGATCGTAACGCGTTTTCTGTTTCGATCAACGTACTCGTTCGATACGTGCATCAAGCTGTAATAAATAACTCTTAACGTTCAAAATTCCTCAAGTTGTAGTGATCAATGCGACAAATTTATTTTTCTTCTTTTTTTTTTCTCCTATCGGTCTTGTCGCATTCTTTTGTTGTTGTATGGTTATTTTTCTCCAAAAGAAACCATTGTAATATTCATCTGGTGCTGCACCAGTTTAAAGGCGCGTTTCTGTCTTATTGTTATCCATTTAGGTAGAGCTGGATGTGAACTCGTATTTTTTTCCTGATGTACACGTTACTACACCGCCCGAAGTAAGTGGGATTTCAATTCTTTGATATATTTTTCAACATATTTCCTGTGCTGTACAACACATAAAATACAAGAAGACTTCACAGTCCAATATAAGAATTCAATATATCTTAGTTCATATATAAATCAAGATATACGTTATCCTACCATAATACATGTAGGTATATATATATATATATTATTGTTATAAGTGAATACCTTATAGTCAACAAATCATAATTAAAAATATTATATAGACCATTTATCGTCTTGGATATGATTAAAATTAATAAAAAAGATATTATAATAAATAAATTACAGTCGTGCGATAAAGAGATAAAAATAAAAAAATTGTATGTACTCAAACAAGTATGTTTTTTTTTTTCATTAGAAATACTTGTTTTATTAAACATTTTTGTCAAAAATTATTTAGAATAGTGATTACACCTACACAGCTATGCTTAAATATTAATTTTTTTGTATTCATAATTTTTATTGCGATCTATTGTGTAAAAAAACGAAGAAGTTTGTTGTCAACTGGTGTACGAATATATTGTTGAAATCAAACAACAAAATAGTTATGATAAACTAGAACATTTTAATATTTTTACTATAACTTATGTTTAGCAGTAGCGCAATAAGGAATTTTTCATGGGGGGGGGGTCTGACTAAATAGTTAAATAGTTTGTGTACGTTTAAAGATAAAAGTACAGCATTCGGTTATTTTACATTACGTTTAATTTTTTCAAGGTTGTAAGTACCTAGGTACCTAACAAGTATAAATATATATATATATATATATATATATATATATATATAACCTTGAAGATTCGATATTCAAATTTTTTATAGTTACCGTATGGATCACATTCTACTGTAAATTGACACAATTTTAGTTCAATTAAAAACGGTTCTATAGTAATTGATTAAACGAGAAAGATGTTAATGCTGAGAGTAAATTGTACAGTAAGCTGGAATAAAACGATTTGGATAAACCTGGAAAAAATCGTACGACCGACGAATTATTACGAAAATAAGTCATTGTAAATCAAATGAGTAAATCCCTTCGAAATAAATAAATTTTACTACAAATGTTTAGATTTTATATAACACAGATATTTTGGATAGAAGACTATACCGGTTAAATAAATAATTTGTTTTATTTACCTTCTTAAAATTTTTCGTCAATCAAAAGATAATTTGTTTTACACTATTTTAGGTATAAAACGAAACGAACGATGACGCAGAGAAAAAAAATAACAAGACGTTAAACGGGAATGACTATTTCATGAAAAAGTGACGATTTTGTGAAATATTTTCATGTTCCACGAAGTGTGAAAAAAACCGTTTCCATTTCATGGAATCGTCAACTTTTCACGAAACGGTCGATTTCATCGAGTGCCTATGACATACACCACTCCTACACGTATACCGATTTATAAAGTAATCGGTTGTTTTCCTTCCTTCGATGTTACCACGGACTACAGATCGTTCAGTGTTCAACGCAATCCGTGATAATGTATTGTT